GACGTCCCTCAGCGGAGCAGACTTCTAAAAGTTCCGATTTTGTGCTCCGCGGCTCTATTGCTTGCCAGAAGCCGCCGACGGAGCCCCCCTCCCCCGCTGTTTATCCTCCTGAATATCGCCTCGGATTCCCTTCTCTGCACGTCTTTCTTTCCAGAAAGTGTTTGCTTTTCTGTTCAGAGAGTTGTTGCTATTTTTTTCTTCGATCTCCTGTTGAGTTTGTAGGTGTTCAGAATGGTTTGATCCCTACCCAGCTGAATTCCTGAGGCCAGACGAAATCCAGGTCTCCTACTCCTCCATTTTGCTCCGCCCCTTCGATTTAAATATTTTTAATTTAAAGACAAGGCAACCTGTGTTGATCAAATCTAGTTGTATGGATAGTTCCATAAATACAGATTGTGCAGTTACAGTGGATACAGCCTAATGGTGTCTGATTAACAGCACTTAGTGATGATCAGTGTTTCTGAGGATCTTTGACAACCTGGACATATGTCCAGAGGGAGCAGCTGTGGAGGAGAGGAAGCCTCACCTACTTGTCTGGCTCATCTGCCAATTCCTGTCCCTGCTGCTTGCCTCAGTACTTTGGTTACCATCATTCACTGATTCCAGAAGTGAGGCAGGGCTGTTCCAGGCACTGGAAGCCCCATACAGGGGGCCTTCTCAGTGCGTGCGGTCACACTGGGGAGCGGAGTGGTGGGTGTGCTGTTTGCAGGCATTATAGAGGACGAGGAGCAATGTGCAGGCTCTAGAGGCTCAGTTTGGTTCGGGTCCAGTCCTGGCTTCACCACTTACTCATTGTATAACCTGGGGCAGAGACTCTGTTTTGTCTTCCTTACAATGGGTGTACCAGTAGGGTTTGGAGTACCACCTACTCAGTATTAGCTGTTACGACCATCTCATACTCATTACCATATTGAAAGAGAAAGGATCCATGAGGCAGACCATGCTTTTATTCTCCATCACATACACAAAATCTGACACAGTGCCTGAAACACACTGGCAGGTGTTCTTAGATGACAGTCATTGATAAGTGGTTTGTGAGGTTAATGGATGGCGGTTGAACAGCAGTCTTCTTTTCTCCGTGTGAGTGCTGAACTAGCTGTGGTGAAGGAGGAGGGCGATGGGGACTGGAACATCAGCTCAGTTACTGATGGAGTTGCGGGGGACATAGCGTGATGCACATCAACACACAGGTTCCTGTTCCTGGGCACCTGACCGCCTCCACTCCCCTCCCCCCCCAAAGTCCTTGATTGCTGCTGGCCAGGCGCACGCAGGCCCTTCTAGCCGAGCACTTGCCCCCCCCCGCCCCCTGGCAGACCCTTTGTCACCAGAAGGGCAGGCACGGAGCTTGGCTCATGACGGCCAGGTGCCCAGTCAGATAGGCCAGTTCACTTGCCCTGGATGGGACTTTCACTGATGAGTGGGAGCAAAGGGCAGAGGGCTCCCCCCGACAGCTGGTTGAACGGGTGGGCAAGCGTGCATTGTTGCAGCTGTGGAACAGACCCAAGCAGATCGTATCTGGTCTGACGGAGCCGTCAGAGCTCATTCCGTGATGACTGGTCACATAGCCGGAATACATCCAGGTCAGCTTTGGGGCACAGCTGGTCGTTGTGTACGTTATGAATGACGCATCCCTCTTCCCTCTCTCTCCTCTTGCCTCCCTCATCTTGTTCTGCAAGCCTCAACTCAGACATCTCCTCTTCAGCGTTGCCCAACTGCCCAGTGCAGGTTAGATGTCTCTTTCTCTTTGTCCCTGCACGTGTTCCTGTCCACACTGGCCACCCTGGCGTGCAACCAGGTGCTGACCTGTCTGCTGTCCCCCACACTGGGAGCCCCTGAAGAACAGGGACCCATACTCGGCCCCGCGGTCCTGCGCAGGGCCCTTTAGTTGACTGTGAGCCTTTGGTGTTGGGTTCCTAAGAAGGAATCCAAGGTCCTTAGGGGGGTGCAGCGTCTCCCACGGTAACGGTGCTGTTGTCTGTTTCTAGGCTAGGGCCCACCCAGCTCAAGATCTTCACTTGTGAGTACTGCAACAAAGTCTTCAAGTTCAAGCACTCGCTGCAGGCCCACCTGAGGATCCACACCAACGAGAAGCCCTACAAATGCCCCCAATGCAGCTACGCCAGCGCCATCAAGGCCAACCTCAACGTGCACCTGCGCAAGCACACTGGCGAGAAGTTCGCCTGTGACTACTGCTCTTTCACCTGCCTGAGCAAGGGCCACCTCAAGGTGCACATCGAGCGCGTGCACAAGAAGATCAAGCAGCACTGCCGCTTCTGCAAGAAGAAGTACTCGGACGTCAAGAACCTCATCAAGCACATCCGAGACGCGCATGACCCCCAGGACAAGAAGGTCAAGGAGGCCCTGGAGGAGCTCTGCCTCATGACCAGGGAGGGCAAGCGGCAGCTGCTTTACGATTGCCACATCTGCGAGCGCAAGTTCAAGAATGAGCTGGACCGTGACCGCCACATGCTGGTGCATGGGGACAAGTGGCCCTTTGCCTGCGAGCTCTGTGGCCACGGGGCCACCAAGTACCAGGCGCTGGAGCTGCACGTCAGGAAGCACCCCTTTGTGTATGTCTGTGCCATATGCCTCAAGAAGTTTGTCAGCTCCATCCGGCTGCGTGCCCACATCCGCGAGGCGCATGGGGCTGCACAGGAGACCGGGGTCTTCACCAGCTCCATCAACCAGAGCTTCTGCCTCCTGGAGCCTGGCGGGGACATCCAGCAGGAAGCCTTGGGGGGCCAGCTGCAGCTGGCAGAAGAAGAGTTTGTGTTCCAGGGGGTGAATGCGCCCAAGGAGGCGGCCTGCTCCGGAGATGCTCAGCCTGAGGAGGGACGGAAGGAGCCGGAAGCCTCTGTGGAAGAGCCTGCCTCTCCTGTGCACTTAGCCACTCCCCAGGCCGAAAGCGCTTCCCTGCCACCCTATGAGCTGGAAGCTGCTGTGGACTCCGCGGAACTTCATTCGCACTCGGTGGTTTCCGATCGGTTTTTGTTGAAGAATGATACCTCCTCTGCCGAGGCTCACGCTGCTCCCAAGGAGACCTTGGATGCCCCGCACAGAGCCTCCTCCCAGACTCAGGGCCAAGAAGTCACACCACTGCTGTCTGAGGCCAGAAGCGCAGAAGCAAACCAGGACATGCGGGGTGCTGAGAGCCCCCCGGGGGTGGGGCAGGAAGTGGCCGCCCCCCCACCCGAGGGACCAGACCCTAGTAAGTGTCTCAGGTCAAACCCAGGTGAGGCCTCAGACCCTGCTCTGGTAGCGGGTGCAGGGTACCTGGCCCTGCCCCAGCCTGACTCTTGCACGCCTGTCTCTGAGCACCGGGCAGGCATCAGCGCGTTCATGAAGATCCTGGATGGTTTACAGAAGAGACGGATGAACACTGGTTTGTGTGAGAGGATCCGGAAGGTGTACGGGGACCTGGAGTGTGAATACTGTGGTAAGGAGAGGCAGAGCTGGGCAAGCAGCCGGTTGAGCTCCGTTCCTGGCAGCCCCGCCTGCCCCCAGCTTGCTTTGGGTCCCCTCGTGTTTGATTCAAGCTCATGTCTCTTTGCAAAGAACCGCTTCTAAATGAGCTACCCTTCTTCATCTGTAGATAGCAGCAGGTGCTGCCATTTAGCACGTGGAGTCTTTGTGGAGGCAGCCAGGGGGACTGGACAGTTAGCCTCACCGGCGTGGTCCGGCGTGTGCAGCGGTTTACCACACGCCCTCTGCCAGAATGGGAACGAAGGGGAATTGTTCTCCTGGCACACGACAGGTGTAAAGTGTAGCTGAAGTTGTGGCCTTGTCAGCGCAGCTCTCTGTAGGGAGCCCCGAATAGAGCCCTTCTGGCTCACGGTGCAGGCCTGGTCTCTGAGTCTCCCGGAGAGCTGGAGGCCCTGGCCGTAGGAGGCCTGGCTCTGGCCTGGGTGTCAGTAGCGTGTAGAGACTCTGGCTTACGCACGCGCACAGCCCTCTTCGGCGCTGTCCTTGGTCCTCAGCAAGCACTGTTTCCGTCCTCCCAGCTCTGACGTCACGCAGACGTAGCAGCACCTTAAGGTCTACAACCTCCCGCCTGAGTAGTAATTTGCAGACAGAAGTGAGGAAGGTGTAAAGGGTGACCTGGACAGGCTGGAGAGGGAGCTAAATAGAATAGTAAAAAAAAATCATAACGGGAAAATCAAATTCAGTATAAAAGAAATTTCCCCGTTCTCACGTGACGATGTCTTTTTAGGCAAACTTTTTTGGTACCAGGTGCACTTTGACATGCACGTGCGCACCCACACGCGGGAACACCTGTATCATTGCTCCCAGTGCCATTATTCCTCCATCACCAAAAACTGCCTTAAGCGCCATGTCGTTCAGAAACACAGTAACATCTTGCTGAAGTGCCCCACCGACGGCTGTGACTACAACACTCCAGATAAATACAAGCTGCAGGCGCATCTGAAAGTTCACACGGAGCTGGTAAGTAGCAAGCCCGCGGCTGCGCCATCCACCCCGGGTGCTCCCCGCTTTCTAGCCTTGGTGCGTGTGGCGCCATCCTGCTTCCTGGGGCCCAGCACGCAAGCAGGCTCCTCGCTTCCCAGAATGCTTCACCCCAGGATTCCTTTAGCAGGGAGAGTCTCAGATGTCGCAGGGTGATTCGGTTGAACAAATTTCCTCTCTCTGCAGATTTTTCAGCATTAGAGAAAAACTACCGAAGATCTGCAGGGTAGAAATAAAGCAAGGATTTGTTAAACTACATTATAAAGAGTTATTAATAACAGAGGTACTAGTAATAAGAGCTCAGTTCGATAGTGCCTGGGAAGCAGTAGGCAGTGTTGGGTTCACGGGGAGAACGCGCGAAACAGTGATGACCGCTGCCGTCCTCTTGTGGGGTTGGTTGTCAACTCTTTGCGAGAGATTGTGAACCATTTTTATTTAAAAAAAAAAAAAAAAAGATAATTTAATCCAAGGGGCTGTTAATATTCATAACGGTAAAACTTGTTTAACTCTTTGGTGGAATATGATGTAACATAATGAATGACTGTTTATTTTTGCAAATTCTCACGTCACTCAAGGGGCTGACACCTGAGCGTGATTTGAGCCTTCTGCAGGTTATAAAGGAGGTCCCCCCCCCACTGGCCCCAGGTGTGGTTCTGCTTTAATGGCATTCCTTTTTATACCACAGACAGCGCAGAAGGAGGCTTCGGAAACTTGGTGTGCTTCCACTGTGTGCTTCCACTGTGTTCTGGCGTGGAAATCATTCACGCTGTGGCGCTTTGTCACTCCGGGTGAAGTCGGGGTGTTGTAGGAGCAGTGGGGTGGGTCAGGGCCCGTGCTTCGGGGTTGGATGCCTGCCGATACTGTCTCCAGCACTCATACGGACTGTGGCTATTGGGGCAAATCACTTGTCCTTTCTGAGACTTGGCAGCCTTCTGTATGTAGTATATATTAAAAAGTATATATTCATATTCTACACATATGTGTATATCTACATATATATGCACGTATATATTTACATATATGTGTATTATACACACATGTACACACATTTGCATACACACGTTTGACATATGCTTGCAGACACAGTGTATGTTTATTTCTGCATATAGCTCTCCCGGGTTCCTGGGAGGATAAGGTAGAATGTTCTGGCAAGAACCTAGCTCAGTGATTGTGTTGTCAACCCTGTGCCCGCTACTGCCTGTCACCTGGGACCTCTTAGTGCCTGTTTCTCTCTCTTTCTGAGTAGGACACGGAGGCAGGCTCTTCCTATTTCCTTACAGAATTGCTGTTAGATTGGTCGTGTGTCCAGTACTGTCTCAGGGCGGGGGACACTGGGGTGGCAGAAATCATTATGATAACTTTGCTAGAAACGCATATGAAGTCAAGTGGGAGGGCGGCCAACATGGGGACAGGGTGCTGGGGGCAGCCTTGGGGTGTAGCAGTTAAGACCAGGAACCAGACTGTGGGTTTTAGCTCTGGCTTCCCCAGTTGGCATGCATCTGACTTCAAGATGAGTCATGTAATTGCCCTGTGCCTCAGGTTACCAATCCTCGGGAGGGTGAGGTGAGAGAATATACGTAAATGTCTCAGAAGGAAGCCTGAAATCGAGTAAGCACCATATGTCACTATTAGAATTGCTAGTATTTATTCTACTTATCATTTGGGGACTTGTTGCTCTGCATCGAGAGACTTTGAAACAGAGGCTGAAGGCTGACACAGAAGAGGAAGTTGTAAGAGCCCTTCAGTGTGTGGGACTGTTTTTCCCTTGTCTGTCAGCGTGTGTCAGAGGGACTCAGGTCCAGCCCAGGCATTTTCTTGCCTCTGGATGCTAGTGCTCAGCCTCCTGGCCACATCCCTGGTCCTCATGGTCAGCAGGGCCTGTCGGGGACACGTCCTAAGATCTTAAGCCCCGATTTCATATGGTTTCATTTATCTTGATAAACCAGCATTTATTTATTTATTTATTTATTTATTTATTTTATTTTTTTAAAGGTTTTATTTATTTATTTGACAGAGAGAGACACAGCAAGAGAGGGAACACAAGCAGGGGGAGTGGGAGAGGGAGAAGCAGGCTTCCCACCGAGCAGGGAGCCCAATGCGGGGCTCGATCCCAGGACCCTGGGACCATGACTTGAGCCGAAGGCAGATGCTTAATGACTGAGCCACCCAGGCGCCCCTTGATAAACCGGCATTTCAAGAAGCTTCTCTTTTCAACTTTCTGTGGTTGTGAATCTTCCTTCAGAGAAGCTGTGTCTGCAGTGTTGACACTTGAGAAGGCGTGTAGGGGAAAGGGGAGTGACGGTGTCGGTTCTCATCCTGTGGTCCGGGCCCCCCTTTCATAATTCTCGTGCCACCTCCAGGAGGTGGGAGTGTTTCCTCCGCAGGGCAGATCAGGAGCCTTCTGCACAGTCATTTGGTAGCTCACCCCCGGTCACACTTTGGTCAGGGCAGACGGTCGTGAATGTCAGCCACGCCCCTCTGGCAGGTCTCTTGGACACTTGCACACCGTTGGAAGGAACGTGCTGGAGGTCGATTTTGTCCCATGAGAGCAGGGGCTGCGTGGATACTTTCTGTGCTGTATCTCGTGCTATGATAACGGAACGTCCCTGAGAGTTCCGCGAGAGAAGAGTGGGAATAAGGGAGCATGACTCTGTTGATTTTGTAAACACAGGGCGTTATCCTGATTCTCATCAACACTCACATTTTCTTAGAAGTTGTTAAAGTGTGATTCTCCTCCCTGATGTTTGCAGTTCTTCCATTTGAGGCACTTTTAAAGGTGAATGTGCTCCTGGTGCCCTGAAGCTCGCTGACGCAGGCTAGAGGCGCCATCCTCTGCGAGCCAGACATTGGGATTTCAGACATGAGTACGACCCCCGTCTGCCTTCAAGATGCTCTGTTTCGGGGAGCGGGGGGCACTAAATAAGAGGACAGCATAGCAATGAGGGACGCTAAGTGAGGCCAACACAAAGTGCCCTTCCCCTCCCACACTGCCCCGGAGAGGTCAAGGTAAAGGTAAAGGAGGGCTGCCTGGAGGAGGGGTTCTGAGCTTGATGAGTAGGATTTGGCCAAGGGAGTGGCAAGGGGGGAGCTCCCAGCAGAGTAGGCAGCACACACCGAGGGGAAGCCTTTTGTGTTTATACCAGGATATTGAAAACGTTTCCATGAAGCAAGCAGACTCATTTGCCAACGTAGTTAGATGGCATCATTTATGAAAACAGGTTCTAGTATTTGGAGTTTAGAGAACATTTGTCTTTTGAGCCTGTAAATTATTTCTGGAATGAAGCTGAAGTTACCAGGGAAATGTTGACCTGGTGGGGAGATCTTCTGCTAGCTAGCATTGCTTACTTTCCCCTTCCCCAAGCCCTAGGCAGCTGCTAATCTGCTTTCTAGTTCCATGGATTGGCCTGGCTGGAGATTTTGTATAAAGGGGATCATGCAATTTATAAATAATGGCAGAGTGAGTATATTACCCTGCTTTCTTAGGGTTGTGGTGAGGGTAACACGAATGAGCTTCATGATGTAAAGGTGCTGAACAGAGCACTCTGGTCAGGGAAGGGTCTACCTGGCTTGGGAGACTGGTGCTGTTGTGACCTCACATCAGCCTGGGGCTTGGTTGTGCCCCGGAGAGATGGGCCAGGTGTGTTAAAAGTCTGGCTGGACTTTGGCATTTGATCCAACTGATTCCCATGCAGTGCAAAATTAAGGAAATTTTAAATTGAACCCCTGCGCCACCCCAAATGGGCCTCCATCCAGGTCCATTCTAGTTGCAATAGGACCCTGGGATAATTTGGCTGAGTTTCCTATTTCTGTGACTCTTAACCATGTCTTTGCTAATGATGCACTCAATGATCAGAAGGCGTGAGTACATTTAGTATGGTCTCTCCCACCACATCCTCTCTTTCCTGAAGAACTAGGTGGTGTGACGTATAGTCAGGGCTATATTAGCATCAAGGAAATGTGGAGAGCCAGCCAAGGGTGGTAGTTAATGATGTTGCCGGAGCAAGCCCCCTTTTTACAGCACTGTGCAGAGTTTGTGCAGGGGAGACTCAAAGGATGTCTCTAATGCCAGGGGCTTTGGGCTCTGGTGGGCTGTAGCTCAGACCCCATGTCCACCTCCGTGATCTTGGACCTTTGCTGAGCCTCCGCTTTCTCATTTGTAACATGAAAATTAGGTACCATCTCTGGCCTGTCAAGGTCATGGCATGTAAATTAGAAAATGTGTGGAACACCCAGATCAGTTTTTGCGGTCCACAGGTCCTGGGCCATGAAACAGTTTAGTTGTGACAGTTTAGTGGGTCACAACTAGTAAGTATCTCTTAAAAAATGAAATGCCATAGAATAGCATTAGGCATCTCTACCCGAGGTTAAGTGTTGTTTTCTGAGACCTTTGTTTCCATGTTTCAAGATTTACTTGTTTTAGAGAGAGAGAGAGAGCATGGGCGCGGGCTTGGTGGGGGGAGAGGCAGAGGCAGAGGGAGGAGAGAGAGAATCTCAAGCAAACTCCACACTCTGCACAGAGCCCAATACGGGGCTCGATCTCATGACCCTGAGATCATGACCCGAGCCGAAACCAAGAGTCAGATGCTTAACTGACTGAGCCACCCAGGTGCCCCCGTTTTCCATGTTTCAATATGTTTATATATCAGTGTGTGTGCTTGTGTGTTCCAGATGGCAATGTTAAATGGGTGACCTCCTGTGGGTCCCTCTAAATAAGTTTATGTTACTGACCCAGCTGATGTAATTCATGACTTCCTGAATCAGAATCGCATGGGGGTGAGAGGTTGCTGGGCTCATGCCTCCACTGTAATTTGACGGGGACCTGGGAATCTGCCCCTTAGGTCCCTCCTGATAGATATATTTGAAATGGTAGGAAATGGAGCATATGGTGGATGCTCACGGTATGTCAGTCTTTTCACTTCATCTCCAGCTTGCGCTCCTTCTAAGAAGACCATCTGATCTGAGGGCACGTGTAGCAGTCA